TTTTTTTTTTTTTTTCTGAGCTGTGTTGCAGCGGGCCTCTAGCTACCCTGGCCTAGAACCAGGGCTATCCGGCTAATTTGCTTGTTCAGCCTGTGGGACCAGGTAGTAGTGGCCTGACCCCACAAGCCGTGTATTCATTCAGTCTAGTACAGTCCTGCTCGGTACTTTAGTGACCTAAATTCCACAAACCGGAAAAAACGAATCAAAACCACAAATTAGAAACGATCGATCAGCCCTGCGTGATCATGTCCACCATTCATTCGGAGTTATTACCAACCCCTGCCAGTCCGCCCTACCACCCGCGCGGCAGGGGTCTGTGCCCTCAGGCCCCAACTGCTGACAGAGACCCCGCAAACCCACCCACCTCCTCGCGATTCAAAGCGGATAGCACCTCCCCATGCTCTTCTTTACAAAAACACCAACTCCCACCACGATGCTGTTTTCACTAACCAGGAGTGTGACCACATCGGAAAATACACGAAACATAAACTAAGCCCCTGCTAGTGTGGGTCACGGCCCCATGAGCTTTCTTTTCTTTTTTTTTTTCTTTTTTTTTTTTGGGGGGGGGGCTTGCTTTTTTTTTTTCCGTTGCTTTTTTTTGGTGGGGTCTTCTTTTTTTTCTTCTTTTTCTTTCATTTTGTGGCCGGCCATAACCGAGATGTCCGGGCCACACCCTTGGCTGGGCCGTGACCGAGATGTGTAGGCCACGCCCGTGGCTGGGCCGCGGCCGAGATGTCTTGGCCACGCCCGTGGCTGGGCCACGGCCAAGTTGTCTAGGCCACGCCCGTGGCCGGGCCACAGCCCTGGCTGGGCCATGGTCGGCATGTCTAGGCCACGCCCGTGGCTGGGCCACGGCCAAGTTGTCTAGGCCACGCCCGTGGCTGGGCCATGGCCGAGATGTCTAGGCCACGCCTGTGGCTGGGCCACAGCCGAAGATGTCTACGCCACACCCGTGGCTGGGCCACGGTTGAGATGTCCTGGCCACAGCCGAGACGTCTAGGCCTCACATGGAATAAAAAAAGAGAGGACGAGCTATGGTCGTGAAAGGTGAACACAGAATCTGGAGAAGGTGTG